TACTTCTTTGTGCTCATTTCTTTTGCTCCTTTAAGTATAAGATTTTGCACCTAACTCACTTCTGGTTAGACTCGAAATCGAAACCAACATTGTTGTCTGCTATCAGTGCCTTGACGCTATGTTGGAGGCATTCTGCGTCTTATTGGGGCAGCGGTAGTGCCGTAGTCAGAGAGCCGTCTTTTTATAATCACATTTCAAAATATATTTTTCCCTAGTCAATCGCAAAGAGGTTCCTCATCTGACACGAAATGTTGTCCATAAGCCCGTAGTTGGGGTACAAAGCTTGTCTAACATAATAATCTAGAGCGAAAGTTCCACGCATTTGGCCACGACGGAATGGCGAGGCATAGACGCGTGGACATAACGGCGGCCCTAGTTGGCGGTCCCGATGAACCCATTTTGGTTCAGACGCCTTAATATGCACAAAGAAGCAGCAAAACATATATAATTTCTGTACCACGCTATTTTCTTTTTTACTTTGCAGAAATACACCTGAATTGCGCCTTGACAAAATTAAACAAAGTTTACAAGCGCTCGAGCAACTTCAACTTGTGGAGGCAAGGGGGATCGCTGGCCGAGTGGTCTAGCGCACACCAGCTCGGAGCACGTGGAGCGAAAGCTCGCGCTGCAGAACCCAGTGATCCTGGGTTCGAGCCCCACCCCTGCCCGTTTCGATCTGGATGAGCATCGTACCGGCGTGCGGTCGTGTGTCACTACTGCGTGATGCACGTTAAAGACCCCAGGCTAGCGGCTGTACCGCATTGGCTAAATTTCTCATCTACAGCTGGGAGACTCGTCGCCCCTGTGAGGCAGACCAAGTTCTAGGCTGTATAAACACACACACAACCCAATTTTTTCTGGAGGCAAAGCTAACACGCCTAAACCAGCCTATTTAAGCATGCTTCCAGTAATAAGCTAAAAGTATTTCCAGACTAAAGCGTGTTTCACATGCAGCGGTTTTGGCCCTAGAGCGGCGCGATTTCTGCCGTCCCGGCGCTTTGGCCAGCACCAGCGGTTGAGCGGCACGAGCGCCGCGACGGCAGAAATCGCGCCGCTCTAGGGCCGAAATCGCTGCATGTGAAACACGCTTACCACTGACCATTATATGCCACTGCGTTCTTGCAATGTCGATGAGTAGATTCTGCATAACCTTTATGTGCACGTTTAGCGTAACATAAGAACATTGAAAAAGCGGGTTCAAAACTTCGATCCACGAAGTTCCTTCGGCGTGGCGCAAGGGTACTCCGGCAAGTTTTATGTTATCAGCTCCACTCAGTATCGGTGACCTAAATTTTGGTCCCAAATCGTCGCTTCGCCTGTTATGGCTTATCTGTCGACACCTTTGTATGGTAAGGGGTACCAGTCCTCCTAAAAATGGTGCAATGTCCATCGTGCCCGCACTTTATCCCAGCCTGTCTTTAGCCAAAAAAATAGGTAAGCTTTTGTCGGTGAGCTTTTGTCGGTGAGCTTTTGTCCGGCTACCTAGTGAGCTCGTGCACAAATACACTCTCAGAAAAAAAGGTGTATTATTACACCCCTTGTCTCATATAATACACCTCAAAATTTCAATTCGACGTACAGCGCCCCATAATCGAACAGGCGGCCTTAAACTGTACGAGCGGCTTGATAGCCATGAGGTACAACTTATTAAGATAGCTGATGTACGTAATATCGCATACAAAAAATATTATCGAAGTTTTCTTGGCCGTACTGCGAAAGCTCCATATTTTCTTTCTGTGGTTTTTAATACGTACTTTAGCAATTTAATAAGTTGCATCGCACCGTTATCAAGCTCCTGGTAAAATTTGGTGCCGTCAGTTCGACTATAGGGCGCTGTACGTCAAAATGAAGTTTTGGGGTGTATTATATGGGACGAAAGGGTGTAAGGTGATACCCTTTTTTTTAGAGTGTAGAGACTCAGTGCAACGTCAATTGCTTTCTCATAGAAACGCGGTTAATTAATCTTAATTCTTTTTTTTTTACTCGCCTTGCAATTTTTTTACATCTCTTTTAAGCATCTCTGATTGTTCTTCCCCACCATGGCAATCCCGTCGCTTTTTCTTTATGACATACCGCCCCCGACTACGTAATCTTTCAGGATTATCATGATAAAATATATACCTGAACGTTAAGCTGGGGTCACACTGCTCATAAATCCTACGAAGGACGGTCTGCAGACAGGTTCGAACGCGAGTCACCGCGGGGCCCGTTCTTCGAATGCTGCAGGGCAATGAGTTCAAGAAGAAACATGGCACGCGGCATTGGAAACACGGTTCTCGCGGTGACTCGATCGTGTCTGTCAGACTGTCTTTTGTATGAGGTGTAAGCGGTGTGATCCGGGTTTCAATTCAGAATTCTGTCGGGCGTTTGGATCAAAAAGGAGCAAATCCTATTCCGTAGTTCTCCTCATTTGTATTGTATCGAAACGTTTGCTTAGTAGACTTTTTCTTTGCAAATTACCTAGATCGGTCGCACATATGATTCGGAGTGCACAGAATGTGTAATATGTGCGATAGGCTTAGTTTCCCTCGTAGGAATATTTTTCTTTTTTTTTTTTTGGCCACCTCAGACACCACACATCAAGTATGCTCCGAATTTATCCTTGGGATCATGGTAAGTTTACTTTTCGTCTGATGGCTGGGGTGCAGAAAAAAACTGAGGTTCTGCCTCTTGCCTTTCACTGTGAGGGCTCATAAAGTCGGAAGTAGTAGTACGCGGCGAAATGAAGCTCCTGACCTTGCCGCGTGAAGACACTGTGCCAGTCAGCCTAGAGGGGAGCCGAGAGGCTTCTATGCAAGCAGGGCTTCTGCCCGTGCCCTTTTGGGCAAGCACATAGAAGACAAAGCTGTTGAGACAATTTAGGAGCCCCGTGTATTATAGCGAAAACTAGAGCACGAGTTTATAGCACTGCAAGAAGATCTGGCTGCACGAGAGCTCATGCAGCGGGATTACGTTGTTTCGCTTTTCCAGACTTCACTCTGCTGCTACAATCGCTCGCTCGCTCGCTCAAAATGTGTGTTAAAAAAAGAAAGGTTTTTAGGCCGCGGTGGAAGAAACACGTTTTTCCTCCACCGTGCTCCACGCCAGACTCGTCAAACCAAGCAGATCTCCAAACAGAAAGGAGCGAAACCAGGGCGCGCCATCTATCGGTTTTCTTTCCAACGAATTCCCGCGTCGGCGAAGGAGCCGCGCGTGTGCTGATCGCTCTAATCCCCACCCCCGTTATCGGCCCTTACGCTTCCCTTAGCCTTGCCGCCGTGCACGGCCTTCCCCCCTCTTTCGGCCTCGACACCCCTCCCGGCCCTTTCGCAGTGGTCGGCCTAGCCCCCGCACTGGGCAGTTCCGGCTCTCTCGGCCCTAATCCACGCTCGGCCCTTCCGCGAGGGTCGGCCCAGGGGGGATGCTGCCGACCCGATGACCACGGCAAGCCCACCGCCAAGCCCCGGGGCCACCCCGACGTTACACCCCAATGCCGCAGTATCCTTGACGCCAGGAAGATCAAGGCCAGTGCGTCCGTCCGGAACGACCCTTGCCGAGAAAGACCGACGTATGGCGAACGCACTACCGACGCCCGGTCTGCTACCATTGCGGGGAAGCCGACCATATATATAAAAAAAAAAATGTGTCGCTTGTATGTTTATACCGCCTTGATGGTGGTACGCCTCAACGGGTGACCTGTCTCTTAGCTGTAGATGAGAAATTTAGCCAATGCAGTACAACCACTAACCTGGCGATTTTATCATGCATCACGCAGTAGTGATTACACAAACGCTGCCGGTACGAAATTCATCCAGATCGAAACGGGCGAGGGGTGGGGACGCTGCAGCGCAAGCTTTCGCTCCACGCTCCGAGCTGAGACGCGCTAGACCCACTCGGCCACCGATCCCCCTGCCGACCACAACGACCAATGCCCGAGGTACGGCGAATGGCCTCGAGACATCGAGGAGTACCTCCAACGCTCGTCCTTAGCGCCGTCTCTCCGCCGTGAATTTCGCTCACCATCGTCACAATATTCAGCGTCTCCAGCGCCACAACCCCGCCAGGAGCGCCTGTCTCCCCTGCGTCGCCGGGAAAACTGAACGCGGCAACGCCTGGAGGTGGCGTTACCGAAGACGACCGAAGTAAGCAGCCTCCAAGAATGCAGGAGCGCTCCCACTCTCTTGACGCCACGCATCGCAACGACGCTCCTGCATCGGTGCCCAACAACCTAAACGCTGTTATCGACGGTCAGGACGCATCGGCCCTCGTAAACACCTTACAACGCCCTGGGGGGAGGGTAAGCTGCACCGTCCGAGTCAAGATTCACGGCGAGACGTGTCCTGTGAAATTCGTCGTTCTATAAGACTGTTTCAGAGACGACATTCTCGGCATGCAATTTCTGTGTGAATAAAAAGACAGCCCATGTCTCCGAAGTTTGGTCAACTGTCAGAGCAGCCGAGGAAGACGAAGACGCCGATGATGGGGCGTGAGAGAGCCAAAATGTCACGATTGACAATTGATAAGGCGACTAATGAGTGGAGGAAACTAAACGTTTAATGGGGCGAACTTCTGTTCAAAACAAAATAGAAGAAAGTTAGCGTAACAGGCGTTGATGCCGGCGAAACAGCAGGAACGAGCGCTGGCGCGAGACTGACTTTGGCTCGCCTCGCGGAGCCCTTAATGAACACGCGTGGGCTTCTGGAACAATCGGCGTAGAACGTTCGGCGCGTAGAACATTCGTACCTCGAATAAACAACAGGCTTCTCGAATTCACCAAAACGCGGCATTTAGAGAAATAACAAAAAAAGTGCGTCGGCTCCTAGACATCGAACGTTCACTGCCTGGGAGCCAACGCGTCCGTGGCCAATCATCGAAAATCACAAGCGTGGAGAATGCACCTTGACGTGCAATTTTGTGTTCTAGACATCTACTATGTTTGCCTTGTCAAAAGTTTTGACTGGCGCTTCGGCGTACATTAAAATATACTAGGTTTCATTGGTTAACGATTGCATTGAACTTACCGGTGACATCCAGTACTATGCTGTTGTTCGTGCGAAGGGCGTGGTTACGCATACTCGTTAAAAGAGGCCCGAACACATCTTGCGGAAAGGTCGTCAAGTTGTTCCTCGTTAAAGTAAGGGAGAACGGACTTGAGTTCGCGAATGCCAATTTGCTGATATTGAATACGTTACTCTCCTTGAGATTTACCTGAAAAAAAAAAAAAGAATTGACAGGTTAATTTTTATTTAACTGATTGGGCCACATAATTCGTTGGTTATACTTTCCTTCCGAGTATAACAGTGAGGCAGCCAATCATGACGAACAATGGAAGGGTCTCAGCGAATAATTAATTAATGCTTATAAAATTATTATACCTGAAAAATGAATGTGCGCAGGGTCATTGAGCGGGTGAAGCATTGTACTCACTATCCCTTCGCGCATATCGCTTTTTTTTTGTATTTTGAGCTTTAGCTCGCTGTGGTATGTTTCTACAGTTCGCCATAATTTGCTGTCTTGTGCTCAGCAGGAAGGTGAGCTCACAAATAGTTTTGTAAAGTGTAGAAAGCGGTTTACCTAAAATTGAAAGACAAAAAAAAAAAAAAAATAACACGCCCACACACACACACAATGCATAGCATGTTTGTAACATTTCAAAATTTTAAACCGAGAGAAATAGTATCCTCAATGTGTTGAAAGTCGAAAGATGTTTGTCCTGTCCGCCCTCTTCGTCTGACTCTTTCGTATATTTTTGAAATTCTATTTTTGTATTTTTGAATAGAATAGAGCTCTTGCAGGCGTCGAAGAGATCCTAGCGGTGTAGTGCCGAGCAAAGCATCTTGGGTGCCCATTGCCCACAGCTTTGGTTTCGATTCGTCAGCATCACTTCATCACATCCCGTCATGCCCAGATACACTGCTTCCATTTTTGAATAACTGACTTTTCTTATATTTACATTATTGTAGGGCTTGCCTACCAATATGGATAAAGTGCTAAGTCACGTTTTTTTCTTGCCGGAGGTCCGATACGAAGGTGAATGAGTACATTGCAAGCGAGCGCTGACTATTTTTGTGCATTGCTGTGATGCACTACTTCGTTAAAATCGAAATCGAAACCATGCCACTTTTCTCCGTGGCCGCAGACGTCCCATAATGCAACGCATGCAGTGTTGCATGCAGGGATTTTTAAAAGGGGGCAATCAACCCTGGAGTGTTTAAGGCTAATAGGCTACGATTCCTTTTCAAAATTGAACATTCTACGTAAAAGTTACGAATACACAAAATATATAGCCGCCCCCTCCCTTTCCTTAAAAAAATATGCACCTATAGATTTAATCTCGCTTGAGTGAAAAGTGATACAGTCAAACCCAATATTTTGTATAAGACCCTAAACTCTAAAAAAGTTTTAACATGGTGTGTTCTTTGTGTAAGGGTGCCGGTATGGGGTGCACACCCTCACAATCCGGACCATGCTTTAAAACGCTCTGCTGGAGTAGTATCTGACCTTCAAACACAATGTGCTGTAGTCGGGGGCAGCTTAAAAACCTATGGAGCGTTGCAAGTTCCGAACATCTCATATATTATCGCTTTGCAGCCAATGAGATGCCGCCATTACCCGTTAAGAACACCGAGGAGCCAATCATGACGCAGAAAGCGTGAACATAAAAAGCCGCATCCTGGGTTTTTTCAGCTGCATTGGCTACAGAAATCGCCATTATTATGCCCTTCTTCAAAAGTCGAAGTAACAAAACACCTATTCGTGCATCGCGAACCAAAAGTGTATTCATGATGTGTACTGTACACTCTAAGAAATTCAGCACGTCTACTTCTCTGCAATGCACTTCAGAAAGCCAACCGCTGAAACTAATGCTTTCTGAGATCGGCGAACGGCGAGATTTAAAATACGTTTAGGTCTACAACGAGTCCGCACTTGTACACCATCGATCGGCATGACCACGCTGCCTGGAACGCGTCTCCGTCTGGCGTGCCTGGCGTCCTGTTCCACCCGTGCGTCGGAAGTGTTCACGTAGTGGCAACAAAATGGCGACGTCACAAAAGTCGGAGTGTCTCGCTGTCGGATGTCGCGATCCTGGCATTTGGTCGTAGAAATGCTGGCAAAACAGCACGAGGGGACCTGAGTGTCGCTGTCGTCGCGGCGTCTCCCTCAACTCCTGGCTATCGAAGCTTCCGTGGACTGTCAAAGTAGAGAGCGACCTGCAACGGAACAGGCGTCTGCCACATCCACCACCGCTGCCGGGACACCGCCAGGGTCGGGACGGGCGGCAGCGTGACACTTCTATGACGTCATCAGACGGAAAGTGAGGGACCAGTTTCTTGGACGCGGTGAACACACCAGATGGAAACGCGTTCCATGGCACCGCATGCAGGCACGACGTGCTTACGCCGTGCTCAGTGTCCCAACTCAGACAATATTTAAGGCCTAAACGTGTTTTAAGCCTCGTCATTCGCCGAGCATCCTTTCGTAGCTCGCAGCAATTGGCTCTCTCTCAAGTGCTTAGCAGGAAAGTAGACGCACTGGATTCCTTAGAGTATAGAGCTGAACCATATACTATCACAAGAATTCTCGCCGAGATAACAGACCCTTTTCATAAACCCATCAAGCAACACTGGCGGTTGCCCTTTTGTTGGGCACCGAGAGTATAATTGGATTCGAGTCCTCTACGAACGCCGACGCAGCTCTTCGTTGCCAATACTTGCTCAGAGTGAGTGCCCAAATGATGGCGGGCTAGAGGATAATAGACCCTTTTGAATATTTAGGGCCATCTGATGGCCCAAAGAAGCAGTTTCATGTTCAACAAACTAATGGCAGTCATCCAACTGTGTTTCATCGTCCACTTCTGCACGGCAATGACTGATGAGAACTGGTTCTTCGATCAGCTCATATTTGTTTTTGTTGGTTTGTTTCAGTTGGATGGTTTAAGAATACGAACGGACCAGTACAAAGGGGCGACTCATAGGACCCCCGAATAAATTTTTGCGATTAAAAGACTTTGGATTCAAACTTGTGCGAAAATTATTGATAGAACCACACTCCGAAATTCACGCTCACGCGACCGTTGTATATCTAATGCGCGTTTCGCGTTTCACTGACATCTCGAACGTACAGGCCTCATATACTGTATATTCCACTTGCAGTATCCTTACTATCGTCCTTCATCAGCCAAAAGAAGATCGACATTTATTTGACACAGGTGACATACACCGCGATGAAGATAATGATCAAAGATGCGAGACTGAATTTCGTAAAGCCTCTATCGGCGTAACAGCTGGTACGTGGATGGGGTTGCACTTTTCAAAAGGGTGCATTGCGAGCAGGACTGACCGTCAGTTTCGGGTACGAGGAGTACAGCGTCAGGGCGAAGTCTCCGAGGTTGGTGATTCTCGTGCCTTCCAGGTTCAACATTTCCAGCTTGGGCAGGGCAGCGAACGCTCGTACGCCCAGCGATCGAATAGGATTCCCAGCCAAGATGAGCTTTTTCAGCTGGGGGTTGCTGAACGCCCAGTTTGGAATGGTGTCCAGTCGGTTCTTGCCGAGGTTGAGAACGGTCAGTTTGGGGAACTGGTTAATCCTGCGATAATTTGTCGACGCAAGCCGGTTGTCGGTATTAGCGCGCATAGATGTTTCGGTGTTTTCCCTCTGAAGCCAATGTGGAGCGCAAGTACGTCTGCTACCTTTGAAGGGGTATTAGTGACGTCAGAACGCCGAGCTCTGATTGGCTTTGATTGAAAAACAGCGGGTAGATTACAAAGCAATCTGCCTTGATGTCTACCCACTGTCCTTGAATCAGGGCCAACCAGAGCTCGTCATTCTGACGTCACCACAGCCCCTGCAAAAATAGCAGACGAACTTGCGTGCCGCATAGGTGACACTGCTAATGCATCATACAAACGACAGACCGCAAAAACTGCCTCAAAAGTTTTTTTGTTTTTTTTTTTAATTTTTTCATTATTCCTAAAGGTCATCCTGGTGATATCCCACACTGCCTGTTACTAGTTAGGGGGAGAAAATTGGCTTAGAATGGCAGGGGAAATCATATGTCGGTCTTTTTAGACCTAGGCTAGGTGGCGCAAGCTACCGCTGGTTACAAAGGGTATAGTCATTATATCCATCCATCCATCCATCCATTCATCCATCCATCTTCCGTGCATGACCGTCCTGTCACGTCGGTCATGCAAAAAACTGTCTACAGACATGTTTAAGCAAGTATGAACTAAACATGCTTCGGTCATGATGGTGGCGTGCCCGCAGAAAATTTTGTCTTCATGTCTGGAACAAACACCGTGTCTTTTGTACCGTATACGAGCGGTGTGACTGCGCTTTCATGGTGTTCCATGCGTGACGTCCTGACCAGGATTTGCACCTTCGTGACGTCACGAGTCGTGACCCTGACTGTTTAGCGTTAGTTGGAACGGCAACTACGAGGGTCTGTTGATCAAGCACGGTGGAAGCTGTGCGGAGTGCTAGTCGTCTGCTTTTTGCGCAGGGGTGGAGGTGACGTCAGAACGACGCCGGGTTCTGATTGGCTTTGATTGAAAAGGTATAGTGGGTAGACCTCAATGCTAGATGCCTTGTGGTCAGCCCCCTATATATTTCTTTTAATCAGCCAAAAAGAGCTCGGCGTTCTGACATCATGGCAACCCCTGTGCAAGAAGCAGACGAATTTACGCTCCACATATGTACCGTTGAAGTATAAAAGCAACACCGTTGAAGTCGACAGTGTGATAATACCCTCGTTCTTGCGGTTTAGCAAATCGTTGAAAGCCTACCACAGCGACGCTTTTGGTTCGCGCATGTCGATTACGATCACTGAAAAAATGAGAACGGTCCGCAGGTACTTCGGCTACCCGCCTCCGGCGCTAGCTTCCTACCTCCGATAATGCTTTGACGTTCAGAGTGCCTCGAGCGTACATACGCCTCCCAATCACAGTGGAAGTCAACGAGCGCGTTCGAGGCCGGGCTTGCTCGCAGAAATGTGTCCTTCCGTCCGTGTGCGTTCCCCCGCTAAGTTTAGCGAGAAATTGACGTCGCGGTCTCGAGTCCCGGTGTCACGTGATATCATGACGTCACGTGACATCAACTTACCCCGCTAAATTTACAGAGAAACGTAATAAACAATACCTCTTTCTTTACTTCCCGAGGCGACACCATAGTGTGTTTTAAATGAATTACAACGACCGAATTCTATGCATTGAAGAACTTTGGAGGACAAAGGTTGCCGGTAATAGTTTTTAGTTCAAAAAGCTACATCATTTTTGAACATCATTCGACAAAGGGCGACGCCTCCATTAACAAATATGAGGAATAAGAAGTAGGTGGCAGCTCTCGACATTTGTAGTGAACTCGGTTGTTAAGCGAGTGTCACGTGTCATGTTCAGGCACTTTGATTGGTCCTGCGTGGTTGCAGATTTGGCTATTTTAAGAGATGCGATGAAACCGAATATAGGGTGTGCTCCCAACCGAAAAGTACGCCTTGACCCAGTCAGCGGAATGCACTATAATGCTTGCTACCTTTCATGTACTGAAATCGGGTGCTGTCATAAAAATAAGTGTCATCGTTTCAGTCAGAACTGGATGTGCACATTCGCCTATTCTAACACACAAGTACAATATCGTGCATGCTAACTGCCCTACCATTCAGTGTGGGTCCCACTCAGTGATGCTAATGCAGGAGCTTAATATAGATATTGTAATTCTAAAGAATTGGGACCAAAGGGACAACTGCAATAACGAAGGTCGTGTTTATGGTTGCCTTCTATGGCAATCTCTTCAACAATTTGAATGGGTGATTGTCAGCATGTTCTAATGATTACGCCAGCTCGTTGACTAAAGGAGTGAACCGGCTCCTTTCCACTGAGACCGCGTTGATGCTGCATCGCAACGGACCTTTTCCGAGAAGCTTTCTGCGCACGCGCGAGCGCCCGATGCCAAGCGGTGGAAGTCGGCAGGAAAAATCGAGGAAATTCGGAATGACGCTGTAGATCGACGAGTAGAACACGTAAATGCAGCATATATATAATTGTGTTACAGAAAAAAAGAAAGTGGACGGAAAGAAAAACACGACGTTGGGTGGACGCTACGGATTTCCCTCTTTAAAGTCGCGTTGGGCAGGCGCCGCTGCTCAGAGAGCGAAGGAACTGGTAGCGTAGCTCCCATTATCGATTGGTAGCGCAGGTAGGTCACTTCCTCTATATATAGTTCGTGCAGCCACCGCCTGGTGCCGTCGGTATGTGGAAAAGGTCCATTCTGATCGGCTTTCATAGTGGCTGATCTGATCAAAAAAAAAATCACTAGCTCTTGTTCAGAACGCAACCCTGAATGACATACTAGCAGAAGTTAGTGAGAGAGCCGTTTGAATTACTTCAGATGTGATGGACAAATAAGTATTACTACCGAGCGCCTGTTCGTGCTAACTGTGTCGCACCCTGTACAGAACTTAGCCTCAAAAACGATGGGAAATAAGAGAAAAATCGTTTTTGTAAGCAAACACGATCTGAATTGAGTAACTCGAGATGACGTGTCCCCCTCACATCGTCCCCTGCTTCCCAGGGCTCCTTATTTGCAAGCGTTTATTCGCAGATCTTTTTGTCGAGATTCTTGTGTCCTTAACAAGAAATTAGGAACGCGGAACACAATTTTGAGGGAGCAAAGCTCGTGAAAGGAAAACCGATAAAAATAGGTACCCGGACCTCTCATAAGCAAATTGATTTAATGTGCAGTATACTAAACAACATAGTGAAGTATATTTGATTTAAAATGCTGAATAGAAAATATTTGTTACAGAACTGAATCGCACTGTATCAAGCGGTTTCGGGGAATGATAAAAAGGCGGTGTTTCGTATTTGTTGTATATACGGGTTGTCACAAAACGGGCTTTCTTTTTTGTCAGAACAGCAACAGAACCCTATTTCCCCGCATCTTGAAGGGCTGACCACAAAAAAAAGGCTCACCTGTGGAATTCGAAGGTCGACAAGGCGTTACCATACAGGTTGATATTCCTGAGAAAAGGCCTTGAATTATTCAGCGAATCAATGCTAAAAGACGTCAAGTTGGAGTTGAAATTCAGATGAATCTCCGCGAAGACAAAGTCGCCAAGGACGTCTTCAGGGAAGGACCCAACGGAAGTTCTGACAATCCACAGTCCTCTGTGCTCCTTGAGGCCGGTGCTATTGAAGGCTCTTCGCAGGTCCTGCGTCGAATTCGCTTTTTCGCAACTAATGCCATCCATGTCGCATGCGCATGGTCGAAGCGTGTCGGCATCAGGACATCCGAAGCTTTGACCGTGGGCCACGACTGCCAAGCTACAGACCAGGAGAGCGACCAACTGTGGGAAACCTGCGCACAATTCGTCGAACAACTATAACGGTGTAATTCCACAAAGCCTGACACAACAACAAAAAAATTGCCTAATTTTCAGCAAAGCGTTTGAGAGAGTCCATTGCTGTAATCTACACGATGAAGCTGGGCGGATGGCGATGCTCAAATATGTTTATGAAAAACACTCTGCACTGTATAGCACTGAGCGCGATGTTAAACTTGGACCGCATCCACACTGTTCACACATCAAACAAAAGACCCAATGCTGGCTGCAGACTTAATGGCAACATAATGTAACATAATCAGCAAACATAAAGATATATGTTTGCTGCCTACACTGGTGCCAACATATCTGCGGACAAGTTTTTGTATGATCATTGTGACATGAGGCTTTCACACAAGAAAGAAACACGCTTTATACTTTAGAAATTGTCTTCAGACTGTTTTTTGTATAGTGTACAATAGCAGTGTAAATGTGGAAACTGCTTTTTGTTTTTTTAATATATTTTTTGAGCCTCGTCAGTCATCTTGCTGGAATGACTGTCCGAATGCTATGCGGAAAGCTAGTCGCACCGACATTGTTAATTAACGATGCACACTGTTATAGACCGTTTTATCGTGGGTAGCGCCATTTTTGAGAGCGAGATAGAAGAGGGGAAAGGACTACCGGTGCTTTCCTTTTTCTGGTGTGTTAGTAGGAGTGAAAGTCTCAAATGAGAGGCTTCGCCGGTGTTGAGTGTATGCATTGAACGAATTTCGTTCGCTCTTTCTTCTCTGTTTCAAGCTCCCAAACATTCGACAGCGACAGACCCTCGGTCATTGGGACACCATTGCTCAGTTATAGGGTACACGAATAACGACAAAAAACGTCGAATACTGTCCGGGAACCTATGTAGCTTGCACGGATACCCGCAAGTGGGGCTGCAATGTCTTTAAGCTCCATCGCTTTCCACATGACCCCGATCTCCGGGGGTAGTGGGTTGCGTCCGTAAACCGAAAAGACGTTTCCCCAACGCCATCCTCTCGACTGTGTTCGAACAGTTTGTGAATGGAGCGCGCACCGATCGTTATACCGCCGATGAACACGGGGTACGCTCGCTAGGTGCGTGCAAGTTTTCTCGTGATAATTGCTGTTTCGGGTTCTAACGTTTTGTAACTGAATTTATCTTAATATTGATATTTCGAAGTGGTGACAGCCGACTCGATTTCATCATCTACAGTGCTTAGTTAAGGGCGCATTTCTGCCGCCGGATGTGGCTGGCAAGTGTCGAAAAGTTAGTTCAATTGGTTTCCCTGAATCGCGATCTCCTGCGCGATACCAGAGAGCCGTGAACTTATGTTGACCGTCACACCGCGACTAGGTTCCTCTTATTCTCAAGATAAGTGCATAACGTAGCTGGAAAGAAACCTTCAATTTCTGTTGCTGAAAGCTGAAACATGCTCTTTCATCGACTTCGAAATGTTGAATCATTGATCGATTCGCTCCGGCAATAGGCTCATCTCGATTTTGCTGTTCTCAGTTCTCGTCAAAAGGTGCACTCGTCGACACGGGATCCTCAAATAAAATGTTTGTAAACAACTTCAAGCCCGAGTGAGCTGCCTTCGATCATTCCCTGCACGAAACGGCATAAACGACATGAAACGTCAAAAAACATTCTCGGTGTACTGCATCTAAAACGACAATAAACCTTAAAGGGCCTCTGAAAATAAAAAAAAAGTTCTTTTTTTATACAGTCTGGTTGGGACACGCATTTCAATAAATAAAGTTTACGTTTTATTTGAGGATCCGTTGTCGGCGAATGTGTCTTTTGTCGAGAACTGAAAACAGGAAAGTCAATATGGGCCTATTGACGGAGCGAGTCGGTCAATGATTCAACATATCGAAGTCGATGCATGAGCGTGTTTCAGCTTTTAGCGACAGAAATTGAAGGTTTCTTTTCAGCTACATTATGAACTAATTAAAAAACAAAAAATAATCTAGCCGCGCTTTGACGGTCAACATAGGTTCACGGCTCTCTGGTATTGCGCAGGAGATCGCGATTCAGGAAAACCCATATATCTTTTCGACAATTTCCAGCCACACCCGGCAGTAAAAATGCGCCTTCAACAAAGTGTTGTAGATGATGAAATCGAGTCAGTGTCATCACTTCAAAATATCAATATTAAGATAAATTCAACTACGAAAGGTTGCAAGCTGAAACACCAATTATCAAGAGAAAGCTTGCACGCACCTAGCGAGCGTTTCCTAGGTTCATCGACGGTTCAGCCTTAAGTTCGGTGCGCGCTCCATTCACAAAATGTCCCGAGCACCGTCAAAGGATGGTGTTGGGGAAAAGTCTTTCTGGATTACGGACGCAACCCACTGCCGCCGGAGATCGGGGTCATGTGGAAAGCGATGGAGCTTAAAGACATTGCAGCCGCACTCGCCTTGCCGGATTCCGTGCAAGCTACATAAGTCTTCAGACAGTATTTTTTTTTCTTTTTTTTTTTGTTCTTTACTTGTGTTTGCTGATACATGTTCCGCAGAGGGGGTGTAAGGCTAAAGGCACGAGTGCCTGAAAAGGCCTTAACCCCATCTCGGTATGCAGCGAGCATCAACATACATATACAGTACATCATATACATATAATACATCATACATATTAAGCACATATACATTAAATTCATATAATTTCAATAGCCATACCTTAATACTGCAAAATATATAGTTTTTTTTTTTAGCTTCGATATACTAAAACAGATAAGTATTAGATACATATACGCGGTATGATCGGAAAGTCTAGGTTACAACAGTTTTACACAAGTTTTTACGAGATATAATTTGACAAAATTATGTCGAAAAACATGAAGCTATAAAAGAAAGAATTTCGAAACATAAATAACATTTTTATACAATAACTTTGTATAGACTGAAAAGACATATCAAAAGACGAAGTAACGAGAAAGGTAAGATCACTGCTAACAAAATATGATTGCAGTTTCAAGAAAGACGAGCAGTATCTAGCAAAATGTGAGAGCACTGCACAGTAAATTTGTTTTACTATCTCTTTTAAATTGGGATATTTATACATCAAATTTTAATTCGAGTACGTCACGATTCAAAATTGTAGCAGTCTGGAAGGCTAAAGTTTGTCGTACGCAATTTGTTCGTATTATACGTACTTTACGTTTCGGCCGTCGAATATCATACACTGGTGTTAGTTCATTTTCTGGCGTTAAGTAGCTTCTAATTCTGTGGATTATTTGAAGCAGTTTAAAGTAATATATTTGATTTGCCCTAAGCATATGGTGTTTTAAAAACAGAGGTTCCGTACATAGATTCCTGCAATCCCCCTTGTAGTCCTGGAGCATACGTAAAATAGGGACTATTAATTTATTATAGTTTGAGGCCGTTGTTGTCCCCCAGACCAAAATTTTGTAACTTAGTTTCGACGCTTTCTGTCGTTATTCGTGCACCCTACACTGAGCAATGGTGTCCCGATGATCGAGGGATTGTCACTATCGAAGCCCGTGGCTCTAAATAAGTTTCGGAGTTCAAAAAGGCCGGTTTTCACATGCAGCGAAGCGCTGATGTAGCTTTACGTTTAATTTAGAGACGTTTCTCCGCTAAATTTAGTGGGAATATTTTTTTGATACTCTGCTCACGTGTAGTCAGCTACTTATCGTGTGCCGTAAGCAACAGTCTCGACAGTGCGATACAAAGCTGGTGAACGCTCCGGTCGGCACGCGCTTAGCGCGAGGTCAGCGCTATGCTTGTAGCGCTCCGCTGCATGTGTGAACAGGCCTTAAAACAGAGGAGAAAGCGCGAGCGAAATGCGGGCAAGGCATACACCCAACACCGGCGAAGCCTCTCATCCGGGATTTTCACTCTTTCTAACGCACCAGCAAGGGGGAAAACGCCGGTATCCCCTTCCCCTCTTCTCTCTCATCCTCCTTCAGTAAAACGTTTATACGTAAACCCATGTTAGGGCCAAACGGCTACATCAGGCCTTATGGGACAAGCAAACAAATTAACGTGATACTTATATCGACAGTAATTTAGACCTGCATAGTCCAGAGGTATATACAGGCTCAAAAATTTGAAACATGACGGGTACAGGGTTATTACATGTTAAGCATTACTTACCCATACTGCCGTGTCCCTAAAGTCGTGCGGAACTGACGAGGAGTATCAGTTGATACAAGCCCCAGGGTATATTTGTACTGAAGGTAACCGCTGTATTGGGAATGCGTTTTTATCGGCTGAGCTTGGGCTATCAGTCGGACAGATTGTGACCTATATATAAGACAAGGAACCGATGCACCTTATTACGAGACAATAAATGACCTCTGACGCATATAAAAGGGTAAGACCTTTTAAACCGATAGTGTGTCTTATCGTTTTCAATGCATCTTGGCAGTTTATAGTGTAACGTTCCTCTTGCAATCATTTTATATCTAGCAGCGCAACAGCTACGCTAGTAATCGTGTCTGCGTACGCATCCCAGGGATTCCAACCTATGGACAGGCGAGACAGTTCCCAGAATTCAAGACCACAGAGCGGAGCGTAATCTTTATGAAGGAAGGAGTGCCGCCTATAGCACTCGTGTACGGCTTGTAAAGAAGATGCCGACAAAGCTTGGCGGATTGGGCATTTTATAACACTCTGCAAAGGGTAATGTTTAGCTGGAAATGAGAATATGACCCTATCTAGTTTTGTATATTTTTGCTTACTTTGGTTTTACTTATTGGAAAGGATGGATGGATGGATGGATAACGCCGAACCCTTTGAATCGGGCGGCGACTTGCGCCACCTAGCAAGTGTTTTTTGGGGGAAGGAGATCGAGCCTTCGCGCTCCTAGTGGCTAAATTGAGAACTAGACCGATGGGGACAACAACATAGATGATTTGTTTGTGTCTTGACGGAACGCTTGGCCCACGTAGCCGAACGTTGCGCCGGCATACGGCTGGGGATCGTGTTCGATCAGTGAAACCAAGCGCGAACGCAGCAGTCGTGGATTTTTCACGCGAAACCTGGTTTGTATCATCAGGGGGGAACGGAGGGAGGGAAGGGGATGGGGGGGGGGGGGGGGGGAGGATGGGGGTTTAGAAATTTTTGAAGCCGAAAAGTGAAGCCGCCGATTAACTCGATGCTGATTGGCTGAGCCAGGTGATGACGTCACACCCCTAGCTCGACACTGATTGGCTGGTTCAGGTATGACGTAACGCGTGAGGCCACGCTCACTCGACGCTGATTGGTTGGTAATTGCGCAATCACTCACGCTTCCCCGCTCGCCCGCCAGACCGTAGTTGGATGTCGTCGAAGAGACATCTTCGTACATGGAGGGTTCTGGAAGAACGCAAGGGGTTAAAAACTCGGGTTACCGCCGATATTGCCATTCCTGGAAGCGCTATCAAATGTTTAAGTCAGACGCTAAACTAACCGATAAATAGCGCGCCGAGAGCGTTGACATCAATCTCAGAGGAATCGGACTGAAAAAGCATACCAGATTGTTAAGCGATTCTGCAACACTAAAGTATCGCTAAAGTAAAGATACCTCGCGTTTCACGGGCAACACAATTGTCCAGCAATTTGCTCTGCATTTTTACTTCATCTTTCTCGACTGAGCTCGGAGAAAAATTTAGGCATGAGCCGTGCCCGATCTTTTCCCCGCGCTCAATCCTGAAAGATGAAGTAAAGAATCCAGTGCACACGCCTTATGTTGGCAAACACATAATTCTGGTAAAAACAAGCTTAACATGGCGCCCCCTATAGTTCAATCTCCTCCCCGATAAGCTCTGTTGCAGGTTAAAGGAGGACCAGCAGAGATATTCTTCAGCCTGGCGGAAAGTCCTCCTCGCCCTCTTTTTTTCCCTTTCTCTCCTGTCTTGCAGCACGGCGAGGCGGGGGGAAGGGTCCCTTTTTGCGCCGGCTTCTTCTGAGAGGATAAGCCGAGAAAATCCCCATTGTGAGAGACGGGCGATGGGTTTGGCTAGAGTTCCTGTATAGACCTTTTCCACAAGGGCGCCGCCATCTTGAATTGACGTCACTTCCAGTATGGGCGAAAACGTAACTTTGCCGTTGCCACGCCAATAGAAGACATTTAGGATATAAGCCTAACCGTCACACATTCTCGTTTTGGCTCGCCTCTATTTTTTTACTAGTTACAGGTTGAAACGTTTTACTTTTTTTTCGTCGCCCATACTGGAAGTGACGACAATTCAAGATGGCGGCGCCCTTGTGGAAAAGGTCTATAGGCTCCCTACGGGAGCCAGAGTTGCGCATTTGTTTTCCCCGCGCCGCCACGCCGCTATTCGCCGAGATCCATCACGTGAGGAGCAAAGCATCCGGTAGCGTGCAAGAAAGCCACCTTTACGGTCGCTCCGCCGACGTTTCTCTTGCCCCGGCCGTATGTTTCCCTGCTTTCCGCCTCCTTTTCCTCCTCTCCTGTTTTCCCATGCGCGGCGGCGCGCGCGGCGCCGCTATTCGCCAAATTTAGTCACGTGAGGAGCAAAGCATCCTACTCGTGCGGGAAAGCCGGCGCTACGGCCACGCGCCGAGGCTGAATGCGCAACTCTGCTACCGTAGGTAGCTATACAGGAACTCTAGGTTTGGCAGCAGCGACCTCGTGACTTACGGGTAGCTTCAGCTCTTATCGCGTAATCTGCCCTATTTTTTGGCGCTCGCCACTCGGGCGTACGGTTCACGGAGCTGCAAGGCTGCGCCCTTCCAGACACCGAATTTGAGCTGTCGAGGTTGTTTGGCTGTAGCCCGTGGCAAAGGAAACATACTTCGGAGCTGCGGTGCATCCCCACACCCATTGAAGGTACGTTTCGTAGATATTCTCGGTTGATCAAGGAGCTTAGAACACATGCGCGGGATGTGGTGACTTCAATATGTGAGGTTGACTGACATATTCACAAAACATTCCATCTTCAAGAGACAGGCTTATTACGCTCAAACCTGCCTCAATTGGGATCGCTGGAAGACAGAACTATGTACCAGGCGCGGGCATCTTGTAGCGGATCTCTGTTTTCTAGCAGCGAGCACAACTTATTGTGTGCGTAACTCACACTATATGATGGCCAACAAATGTAGATGACATTTATATTTACACATCCCAACAACCGCATGAGGTGAGAAGGCAGCAGTTGTGTGTGTCGATATTAAAAAAAGTTTTAGTGGATCGTTTTAGCTCTTGGATAACCGTATCCTACATCAATATATAAGCTATACCCTTTCTGTGAGCATTATTTATCGAGTGCGGCTATCGAAGCGTGTCGTGTTATAGTTCAACGTTGCTAAATCGGTGCTATAGCACGTGCTGCCGCTTTAAAGTATTTTTGAGCCATTAAAATAAAAGAATAAACTAAACGTAGGCGATTTTTTTTTAACATGAAACGCGTTTGTAATTTTTCATTGCAAACAGATGTTAGGTATACTGCCACACAGTTAGCAAGGACAAACTATCGCTGGTTTTTCTCGTTTTGTTTTCTTAGAAGTGAATGATGTTTAGAAAACTGTTAATGTGAGTATTCAACCTAAGTGGCAGAGCTTAGTGCTAGACAATATATGTTGCTGGGCAGAAATAGTAAAAAGCGCCAATGTCGCGTTCGGGCTAACACTGCCACGTAATGTACGAATACCGCTACAAGATCAGCGCAAGCATATTATGGGAATGGATTCATTACAGAATTTGTTTTAATAGGTGAAAGGTTGCATTCTTATACAAGAAATTCGAAAAAGAATGCTTCTATTGGGCGCCGCCAACGGTTCGGCAAGCTGGGCTAATGAATCGGGAACAATGAGAGCAGCATGCCGGCAGTCGCCATTTTCTCTAAGCGGAGTTTTGAGGCGATTCGACAATCTGTTGTCGCTGAGACGGCGTTCGTTAAAACGAGCCTCTCTAAACCGCATGCCACAACTTTGCGTACACTCTTTATTGAGTCGCACCTCCTTTTTTATCAAGCTCAACACAGCGCTGTAGGGAGGCAGACAGATGACTTCGTTCAATGCAAACTTTTTTCTCAATTAGTTTTGTTTCAATCGAATTATATGCCTGTATAACTAACGTGGTTTCTCTATACTCCCTGTAGGTGTATAACGTTCAGCGGATGGCCAGATGGAGTGCACCGAATGTTTTTGCGCTCCGTGTATACTGACCCAAGGCCACGTGAGGGTGGGGATGGGCCAGGCACCGTGGTCCAAGAATCCTGGGGTTCGCAAAAAGTATTACAGAATGTACTGGGCCTGCCTGGCAAATCTGGCCGCTTGGCGTGACCCCAGGTACTTGGAGAAGAAGAGACAAGCCGGCCAAGGAGTATATACTAAGCGTGAATTGATGCCAGTGTGCGTAGTTGCACACGTCCGGTGCCTGTATCCAAACCCACCTGGTGTTCCCTACATGGGGCACATGTGGGAGTAAACTATTTGTGTATAAAGTCTCTGGATTCAGCGCCTTTCTTTCTGTGCCTAGTTATTAGTGCAGTGTTAGCACGTTAAATGTCTCAAATCTGTAGTCCACCTTTTTTTCTTGAAACACCTAGTGCGCATGCCCTCTATCCATCGTCCCTGCGTGGGTTCGGGAAAGCGTTTTGCCCCACCAAATTCGCCATATTGTTTGTTCCACTCTGGTGAGGGGCGAGCCGCGTGAGTAACGCTGACTCGTGTAGCTCTTAGCAGGCTCTCGCCACCGAGTCACAAGTCGGTGCCTGCATCGCGACTGCTGGTTTAGGTGACCCGCGTTTCGTCAAGCTGTTTTTACAGCTTTCTTTCCGTGTCACCTTTTCAACGTTGTTTTTCTTGGAAAAAAATAGAGGTACTATTATTATTATAACCTCGCGTAAAGTTCAATAAGGGAGCACGACCTGGAGCGTTTTCAACAGCCGGTGGTATAGGTAGCAATGGGGCTGTACAACACTAGAGCGCACGTTAGAAGAACGCCGACATTAGACCGCCGACAGTAGAGCGCCACGACGTTAGCTCGCGCGACATGAGAGCGCCGCAACGTTAGAGCGCACGACTCGAAAGCGCTGCGACGTTAGCGCGCGCGACTCGAGAGCACATCGAGAGCGCACAACCAGTCAAGCGCGAGTGGCCCAACCACTTCTTCGGGCATCGCGTGCTTTATGTAAAATTGGCGGGGATTTACGCCGTGGCATTCGGCAAGGACATTGCGAAATGAGTCGACGAATTTTTTTCGTGTAACAAACCAAGAAATGTTTCAAAAAACTGACAGCAAAAAAAAAAAAAAAAAAAGGATTATCTGTAGCGTATATTTCCGCAGAAAAAAAAATGCAGCTGATATATATAGCTCCATTAGTTTTCTGATGTTATATCTCACAGATTTGAAGGGGAGGTTTTCCTGTATCCGTCAAAAGACTGGAAAGCTTTGCATCCGATAAAACTGCGCTGAGCTTTCCTTCGATGAGTGTTTTACTGAACTTTTTTAGCGGTGAGCTTTTTCCATTACGGTCATGGACGTCAAAATACTATTAAAGTTATGCGAGAAACGTCCCAATAACC